CGGTGTGTGTGTTTACTGGTGCGTACCTTCCCCTAGTACATCCCTTCCCCTAGTACATCCCTTCCCCGGTGCGTACCTCCCCCGGTGTGTATCTCCCCGGCATGTGGCTCCCCCTGGTGTATATCCCCCCGGTATATACCTCCTGCGGTATATACCTCCCCTGGTGTATATATTCCCTTGCTACTTATACTCTGCATATGCTTAAAACACTGCCTGTGTATATCCCCTAGTATATATACTTTGCGTTTGTTTACTTTAATATATGCGTCCCCTGGTATATATTTACCCCTGGTGCATGTTTACCCCGGTGAGTCTTTGCCCTGGTAAGTCTTTACCCCGGTGTGTATCTCCCCTGGTACATGTCTCCCCTAGTGCGTGTTTACCCCGGTGCGTGTTTGCCCTGGTGCGTGTTTACCCCGGTAAGTCTTTGCCCCGGTGCGTACCTCCCCTGGTACATGCCTCCCCCGGCGTGTGCTTCCCCGGTGCGTACCTCCCCCGGTGCGTATCTCCCCGGTGCGTATCTCCCCCCGGTGCGTACCTCCCCCCGGTGCGTACCTCCCCCGGTGCGTACCTCCCCCCCGGTGCGTACCTCCCCCCCGGTGCGTACCTTCCCTCGGTGTGTACCTCCCCTCGGTGCGTACCTTCCCCGGTGTGTGCCCTCCCCTGGCATATACCTCCCCCCCGGTACATGGCTCCCCCTGGTGCGTAACTCCCCCGGTGCGTACCTCCCCCGGTGTATATCTCCCCCGGGTACATACCTCCCTGCGGTGTGTGTGTCCACTGGTATATGCCTCTCCCCCTGGTACATGCCTTCCCCCAGTGCGTACCTCCCCCCCCTGGTATATGCCTCCACTCGGTGCGTACCCTCCCACCGGTGCGTGTTTGCCCCGGTGCGTGTTTACCCCCCCGGTGTGTACCTCCCCCTGGTACATGCCTTCCCCCGGTACGTATCTCCCCTGGTACATACTTCCCCGGTGCGTGTTTACCCCGGTAAGTCTTTGCCCCGGTGCGTACCTCCCCTGGTACATGCCTCCCCCGGTGCGTGTTTTACCCCGGTGCATGCTTCCCCGGTGCGTGTTTTACCCTGGTATGTGTTTACCCCGGTGCATGTTTACACCAGTATATACCTACCCTTGGTGTGTCCCTCTCCCCGGACTGTATCTCCCCCGGTGCATACCTCCCCCCTAGTGTGTACCTCCCCCGGTGCGTACCTCCCCGGTGCGTATCTCCTACTAGTATATATTTATTCTTAATACACATTTCACCCCCGGTACACGTGTTAACTGCTATATGCCTTCCCCCAGTGCGTACCTCCCCTTAGTTCATACCTTTCCCTGGTGCGTATCTCCCCTGGTGTGTATTTTTCCCCGGTATATATATCCCCCGGTGTGTCCTTCCCCCAGTGTATTCTCCCCCAGTGTGTACCTCCCCCGGTGCATACTTTACCCCTGGTGCAAACTTCACCCTGGTGTATACTTTTTACCCCGGTGCGTGTATTAACTAGTACATACCTTTTCCTAGTATATGCCTTCCTCCGGTGCATACCTCCCCCTCCTCGTGTATACCTCCCCCCGGTGCGTGTTCACCCCGGTGCGTGTTTACCCCGGTGCGTACCTCCCCCGGGTATATGCCTTGCCCTGGTATTCGCCTCCCCGGTGCGTACCTCCCTCTGGTGTGTATCTCCCCCGCACGTGGCTTCCCCTGGTGTATGCCTCCCCTGGTGTATACCTCCTCCGGTGTGTGCCTCCCCCCGGTGTGTGTATTACCCCCTGGTGTGTGTATTTCCTTGCTATATATACTCTGCATATGCTAAAAACACTGCCTGTGTATATTCCCTGGTATATATAGTTTGCGTTTATTTACTTTTAATATATGCGTCACCCGGTACATGTTTACCCCGGTGCGTACCTCCCCCTGGTATATACCTCCCCTAGTGCGTACCTCCCCCGTGTGTGTATCTTCCCCGGCACGTGGCTCCCTCTGGTGTATGTCTCCCCGGTGTATACCTCCCTCCGGTATGTGCCTCCCCCGGGTGTGTATTACCCCCCCAGTGTGTGTATTTCCTTGCTATATATACTCTGTATATGCTTAAAACACTGCCTGTGTATATTCCCTGGTATATATAGTTTGCGTTTATTCACTTTAATATATGCGTCACCCGGTACATGTTTACCCCGGTTTATGTTTACCCCGGTGCGTGTTTGCCCCGGTGCGTGTTTGCCCTGGTGTGTACCTCCCCCCCTGGTACATGCCTCCCCGGTGCGTGTTTACCCCGGTGCGTGTTTGCCCCGGTGCGTACCTCCCCCGGTGCGTACCTCCCCCCCGTGCGCGTACCTCCCCCGGTGCGTATCTCCCCCAGTGTGTACCTCGCGCTGGTGTATACTTTACCCCGGTGCGTTTTACCCCGGTGCGTACCTCCCCTGGTACATGCCTCCCCCGGTGCGTGTTTGCCCCCCGGTGCGTCTTTACCCCGGTGCGTACCTCCCCTGGTATATGCCTCCCCCGGTGTGTTTTGCCCCGGTGCGTCTTTACCCCGGTGCGTGTTTACCCTGGTATGTGTTTACCCCGGTGTATACCTCCCCCCAGTATATATCCTTTCCTGGTACATATATCCCCCCGGTGCGTCCTCCCCCGGTGCGTATCTCCCCCAGTGTATATTCTTTTCCCGATACATGTGTCCCCCCGGTGCGTCCTCCCCCCCTGGTATATAGCTCCTGCTAGTGTGTATCTCCCCCAGTTCGTGTGTTTACTAGTATATACCTACCCCTGGTACATGCCTCCCCTTGGTGCATGCCTGCCCCCCGGTGCGTATCTCCCCGGTGTGTGTATCTGCCCCTGGTATGGTATGTATTTCCCCCGGCACATGGCTCCCCCCTGGTATATGCCTCCCCCCCTGGTACGTGGCTCCCCCTGGTGCGCACCTCCCCGGTGTGTGTGTGTCTCCCCGGTGTGTATATCTCCCCTGTGTATATACCTCCCCCCTTAGTATATATCTCCCCCGGTGCATACCTGCCCCTGGTGCGTACCTCCCCCCTGGTATATATTTTTTTCCCGGTATATATATCCCCCGGTGCGTGTTTACCCTGGTGCGTGTTTATCCCGGTACGTGTTTACCTTGGTACATGCTTTCCCCGGTGCGTACCTCCCCTGGTATATACCTCCCCCCGGTGCGTACCTCCCACCGGTGTATACCTCCTCCTTGGTACGTATTTCACCCCCGGTACACGTGTTAACTGCTATATGCCTTCCCCTAGTGCGTACCTCCCCCGGGTATATGCCTTGCCCTGGTATACACCTCCCCCGGTGCGTACCTCCCCTGGTACATGCCTTCCCCGGTGTGTACCTTCCCTCGGTGCATATCTCCCCTGTTGTGTGTGTGTACCCTAGTATATATATATTCCCTGGCATATATAATTTTAGTATATATATCCCCTGTCCCCTAGTACATGCGTCCCCTGGTATATATATCCCTGGTGTATATACTTAGCATGTGCTCCCTTTACTTTATACACCTCCCCTGCGTGTATATATTTTTACGTGTGCTTTTTCTAATACATGCCTTTTTTATACTTTTATACCTTCCTCTAGTATATATTTTTTACTACTATATACCTCCCCCAGCGCATACCTTCCCCAGTGCGTACCTCTCTCCCCGGTGCGTATTTTTTTCCTGGTATATATCTCCCCGCGGTGCATACCTGCCCCTGGTATGTACCTCCCCCGGTGCGTGTGCCTCCCCCGGTGCGTGTGCCTCCCCTGGTATATATCTCCCCCGGTACATGGCTCCCCTGGTACGTAACTCCCCCGGTGCGTACCTCCCCTGGTACGTGGCTCCTGCTGGTGCGTATCTCTCTGCGGTGACTATGTTCCCCTAATACATATTTACACTAGTACATGCCTCCCCCGGTGTACATACCTCCCCCGGTGTGTATACCTCCCCCGGTGTGCATACCTCCCCCGGTGTGTATACATCCCCTTGGTGTGTTACCTCCCCACAGTGTGTGTACCTCCTCCTAGTATACATATCTCCCCCGCTGCATATCTACCCCCAGTGTATATCTCCCCGGGTATATACCCCCGGTGTGTGTGTTTTACTAGTATATACCTCTCCCTGGTATATGCCTTCCACCGGTGCGTACCTCCCCTGGTATATGCCTCCCCCCGGTGCGTACCTTCCACCAGTGCGTGTTTACCCTGGTGCGTCTTTGCCCTGGTGTGTGTTTACCCCGGTGCGCCTTTGCCCTAGTACATGCCTTCCCCGGTGTGTACCTCCCCCGGTGCGTACCTCCCCCTGATACATACCTCCCCCGGTGCGTACCTCCCCCCCCGGTGCGTACCTCCCCCTGGTCCGTGCCTTCTCCCGGTGCATGCCTTCTCCCGGTGCATACCTCCACCTAGTATATATACTTTGCGTTTGTTTACTTTAATATATGCGTCCCCTGATATATATTTGCCCCGGTGCGTGTTTACCCCGGTGCGTGTTTGCCCTGGTGTGTGTTTACCCCGGTGTTTTTTGCCCCGGTACGTACCTCCCCCTGGTACATGCCTCCCCCATTGCATGTTTGCCCCGGTGCGTGTTTGCCCTGGTGCGTCTTTGCCCCGGTGCGTGTTTCCCCGGTGCGTGTTTACCCCGGTACATGCCTTCCCCGGTGCGTACCTCCCCCGGTGCGTACCTCCCCCCCCGCGTGCCTCCTCCTGGTGCATGCCTTCTCCCGGTGCGTACCTCCCCTAGTATATATCCTTTTACGGTACATGCCTCCGCGGTGCGTACCTCCCCTAGTATGTATCCTTTCCTGGTATATTTATCCCCCCAGTGCGTCCTTCCCCCGGTGCGTACCTTCTCTTGGTTCCCTGGTATATACCTCTGCCTAGTACGTGTGTCCACCGCTGTTTATATCCCTATATTATATATGCTCTGCATGTGCTCCTATATTATATACACTTATTAGTCTAAATAACAATTATAAATATATTACTGTTCTTGCTACACTGTATACTAACTAGTTATACCACAAACCCCGTGGATCCCTCCAATTCTTTTGCAGATCTGCCATAGCCAGCAAAATAATGCGAATAACTGGCTGTGCTGGCCTTTGGCTCCCTCCGTGGCCTGCCCCAAAACTGCAACACTTGCATGGTGTTGTTTGCGTCCACCCCGTGTGCTGCTGCAACCGGCGCTGCCATAGTGGCTGGATCTGCTCCTCCCACGGGCCGTACAGTATTACAGCTGTCATGGGGACCAATATATCCTTATATACACACTCGGTTTGTGTTGGATGGCCATCTAGTACCTCCCATCGTCGACAGATCGTCTGCGGCATATAACAGCGGTAACAAGCGGTATATCTAGCGAATGGAATCTTATACTGGCGAACTAGATTAACCCATGCCTTGGCTTTGTCGCTTTTGGGCCCACGACAAAAGTATAACTCGTGTTCGTTCCGTTCCCGTCCTGCAATGGTGCAAATATAGCACTTTTTCTGCCATGGTGCTATCTCGTTTTCAATAGTTTCCTCGTCCAACCACTGCCGTGCATCTTGCACCTGGTGTTGAATACGGGGCGCTGCATGGCGCTGGTCTTGCACCCGTTGGCGCTGGCGTTCGGCGATACTAACCGTGGGCGTGGGATTGGGGGCGATATTTTGCGTGCTCTGTGGTATATAACATGCGATATTACTTGAGTTTCAAATGATTCTGTACTGTCATGGGATTGGGACCGGCGTGTGGGATTTGGCGCGATATTCTGCGTGCTCTGTGGTATAATATGCGATAATGGAAATAATTCGCCACTACCATGGGAATGGGGACTGCCCGTAGCGCTAATCTCGCGTGGTGGGCTTGTCGTGCTGGCGAGATCGTCCATGCGGGTGTCCGGGGAATATCTGTCCGGGGACATGCAAACCGACTCCTGCGCGAGCCAATCGGCGTCACAGCCGTCACAGAGTGCCTCGGTGGAATCAATATCCTGACAGTATCGGCGCGTATAGCCATTCACTGTTTCGTCCATGTACGCGTCCAATACAAACCGTCGACATCCCACCCCGGGCGCCACCCCGAGGTACTCGTCCACCAACTCGCGATCCGCCACGGCCTCTGGCGTCTCCGGCGTGGGCTCGTCCCAGCCCTCGGGCTGGATAATAATCGCCTCGCTGCGCTGGCTATCCCGTCCGGCTCGCCCACTTTCCTGCCCGTACTCCAACAACGACCGCGGTGTTCCAATATGGATAATACTGCGAATATCGGGGATATCCACACCCATGCCCAATGCACTGGTGGCGGTAATTACTCGCGCCTCGCCCCGGGTAAATCGCTGTAATATAGATGGCTTGTCAACCTGCTTGCTGTAGTACGCCTCGCACGCTAACTCGCGTGCAATCTCCACTACCTGACGGACCACATGGCCGTATACCACCACCTTGCCATCCTTGGCGCGCTGGATTCGCTCGCGGATAAACGCGAGCACCGGCTCGCTGGTAAACCACTGCATGGAACGCCGACCCAGCTCGGGCCGCCACACGCGATACGCCACGTTGGGACGGCTTGTCCGGTCCCGAAATATATGGACTTGCTCGCGGGAATACTCCATGCGCCGGAATAACTTCGCCTCCAACCGCGGCGGCAACGTGGCAGTTAATAACACCATCTGGGTTCGCGCGTGGTTCAACCGCCCCAGCTGTCGCAACTCGGGTCGGAAATCCGTTTGGTCGTTTAATATCACATGGCATTCGTCGATCACGATCCGGTCTAACCGGCGTGTTTGCTGCAACCGGTTAATAAACGTTTGAAAATCCTCCTGCACCGCGGATTCCGGTGTGACCAGTACAATTGTCGCTTCGTCCGGTGGCCGTCGACTATCCCATTCAATGCAGGATATACCCAACTCGCGACAGCGCCGCACCATATCGTTCCGCAATGATATTAATGGCACGACCACAATGGTAGTACCACTGGGCTCGGCGAATGCAGGTAACATAAACAACATGCTTTTTCCCCTCCGGTGCGCATAATGGCGACCACCGGGCTCTTGCCGTCCTGAATGGCGCGCAACGCCGGTGCTTGACGCCCCGGAACTGGATATCCTCTTGCCCGGTCATGTGCTGCAACGTGGTGCGCATATCTGCGATATTTAACCGGTGACGTCGGACCACTCGGCCCTCCTCGGCTTCGTCCTCCCATGGTGATCTCTTTGCGCTTCCCCAACGGGCTGGGCTCCGCGGCGGATGCAAACCCCAAAACCGGTGCCAATCGGTGCTGGAGAGTCGAAACATTGCACGGCGATGTGCCGTGGTCCCGGGCTGCTCCATAATACCACGGCCGTACACTCCACCCGCCAATTGGGATGAATGCGCCGCCTGCAAGTCTGCAATATGGCCTAACCACTGCTCCTCGTCCATACCCTCCTCGGTGTCGGCGTTTAACACAGCCTGCGCCAAGTCTCTCTCCTCCTGCATGTTGCTGGCAAACGCGGCAGTGGGTCGCAAAATCGTCGGCTAATCCCAATGGCGATATCCCGATACCACTGGATATTAATGGCTTCTTTTAACCGGGTCTTGGTTTCGCGCTTTAACACCTCCCGGAACCGCTCGGACGTCCATTTGCGCCGGGTTCCGGGGTCGGGGCCCCATAAAAACGCATCTTCGCGGATCTGCGCTGCGTGCGTGCCCTGCGCTGTGGTGCCCTGCGCTGCGTGCGTGCCCTGCGCTGTGGTGCCCTGCGCTGCGTGCGTGCCCTGCGCTGCGTGCGTGCCCTGCGATGTGTACGTGCCCTGCGTTGCGTGCGTGCCCTGCGTTGCGTCCATGCCCTGTGCCGTGGTGCCCTGCGCTGCGTACGTGCCCTGCGATGTGTACGTGCCCTGCGTTGCGTGAGCGCCCTGCACCGTGGTGCCCTGCGCTGTGGTGGTGCTTTGCGCTGTGGTGGTGCTTTGCGCTGTGGTGGTGCCCTGTACTGCGCGTATTCCCTGCGTGCCCTGCGTTGCGTTCGTGCCCTGCGCTGTGGTGGTGCCCTGCACTGCGTGCGTTCCCTGCGTTGCGTGCATGCCCTGCGCCGTGGTGCCCTGCGTCTGCTTCGCATGCCATGCGCTTAGTTGCTGCACAAATGGTAATACCAACCATAAATACCACACAATTAATTCACCCACCTCCCGTGGCACAAATCGATGAATGATCTTTATATCGTTACTCGCGTAAAACCCCTTGTGGTACGCCGTCACCAACGCCACCATCCCGTCCTCGATATAGATATTGCGCTGTCGATTCGCCACGGTATTCACATGTTGAATACTTAATAACTCGGGTGCGCGAGCCGGCTGGCCGGATACCACGTGAACAAGCACTGCTAATTTCTCCTTAAATCGCGCCACGCGCTCCAGATACTGCGCCACCTTCGGCATGTGCAGCCGTCGGGCTTGGCGCCGGACGGTAAACTCCTTCTGCACGGCCGGCTCGGCCCGCAACCGGCCGATCATCCACTTGGGCCCCACCGGCCATTGCGTGCGCTGATCCCGCAAAAATTCCATCCCACCGTGGCCTGCGTGGGGTCGTCGTAGATCGCGTGCCATGGAATACTGGGAATGTCTTCCCGCGCTGTCACGCACAGTATGTCGCACAATATCTGGCGTGTGGCCCCGACCAATCCATGGACAAATCCGCGGAAATCGCCCATGGTAAATGTGATATGCTTGTATCCGAGCTCGTCGCCATGGTTCCATGTAATGTGCCCGGGCGCCGTGGTATTATAATGGATCTTTAACCCGTACGTGCGCCAATCCTGCAACGTTTGTATTGACTGTGGGTGCCACGCACCATAAACCGCTGCACCATCCACTCCACGTGCTCCTGGAATGTTTTCCCGCGATTCTGCCGGCGGATATTCACTATCGGTTGGGGATTACTGCTGGTAATGGGCGATGTGGGGGCGATGATGGGATGCCTTGCTCTGGTTGACTGTAATATCCCTCGTCCGAATAAATATCCTCCAGCTCGTCGTCGGCGCTGGCGAGCACCCACTGCGCGCAGTTACTCTTCTTCTGCCACACCGCGATAATCTCCTCGGGATTCGGATCCAACCAAAGCGCTTTCTGACAATTATAAAGCGCGCCACCTTGATCACACGCGATAAGATCGGGGATAACTCTCCGGGCCCCGCCATCTGTCCCGGCCCCATCCCAACACGGCCATGGCACATACAAGCACGCTCTCGTACTCATGGCTACGCTGCTTTTGGTTTAGCAACTCGATGCAAAACTCCAAACACGCGCCTTCGATCGGGGTCATGCGCCACGCTGCGTCGTCGTCCTGCGGCTCGCCGGGAATATCCCGGTGGGTAGTGGCGAGGTGCCATAACTGCCGCCATTTCTTGCGCTGCCGTGCTGTCATCCCGTACGGGGACTCGTCCATCCGTGTGGCGCCTGGGTGCGCGCGATAAACGCTAGGATTTGCTGCCATGGCTGCATATGCTTAACCACGCTCTCGGTATCCATATACGCCTGCAACGGTCGATATGGTGTTTGACCCTTTTCAGATCGGATGGCTTCAATGCAGATTGCCTGGCCGCTGTGCTGGACCACGCGCTGGCTCTTGCGCACGACCTGCTCCATGGCGGCCCAAATGTGGCGCACGCCCTGCTCCACGGGATCTGTGGGCTCTTCCTCGGGCGGCGCCACGCTGTCGGTTAGATCCTTTGGTGCGATTCCTTCTAAATACTCGGACCACCGGGTCATGCGCAGCCATGGGTTGGCGTCGGTAATATCAGATGCCTGAATTGTACTCGGCGTGGACTGCGCCTCCTTCCACGCGTTCTCTAGCTCCTGGACAGCAACCTGGATATCATCTGTGGGGATCGCCGGTTCGTCGTTCTCATTTGGATTGCGGATGTGAATATAATGCGATCCTTTGCGCGATGGGAATATCTGCTGGCATGTCACAGATATAAAGGATCGCTGCAGCTCAGCATCTGCACGCACGCGCTCGTCACGGCTTACTCGACCACCATGCGGATACTGGGACCATCCATGGGTGGTGCGCCAGTGCTTTCGCATATTCTCAATTGTTCTTCCTATGTACTGACAGCCCGGGGAATCCCGCCGACATAATAAACCATCAGGTTGTACGGGTATTCCAACCAACGCCTGGTCCAACTGATGGGGAAAATTAACCTGATCGGGGAATGCGCAATATCCTCCCATTGCATTACCTTCTCGCTAATCTGGACAGCATCGGCGTGTGGGATTTGATGGGCGCGATTTTTAAAATGGCGGAGAACCTCGGGGCCACACACCATGCTGGCATTGCTTGCAAATAATAACAGGTAACATATCAAGCTTCTCGAATATCTGGTGCTCCATGGCCGAAATTAAATTGTTTATTTAAACGCGATCGTATAACTGCAGTTGGGTGTGTTTACCTCTTTCCTAAATAATCCTGCAACCTGGCAAGTTTGGTGGTTATGTAATAACGGCTCGGTCGGCTGTGATACCCCAACAAAATAATTAAGTCGAATAATAAACATCGACCACCACCACAGTATTATATAACGGAATTTCAAGCTCCCATTTTGCCAAGTTACTTTTATAGGTGTCCTGCATCTACTATAAAAATTTAAGCTATGGTGGATTATGGGTTGTCGAGCTACCCTACGTTTATAATTTGGAACGACATATGTTAACGAGAATTCTGCTAGCCAATCAGCGCACGATCCTCGCCCCACTGTTATCCGACCCTAACCAGACTCTACCAACATCCGCCCCAGGCCTGTGGAATAGGGCAACACACTTTGATTGCAAATAAATAGAGAGAGATTATTGACCATTGGGAAATCGAATCTGATATAATGGGATCCCTCCGTGATGGAAACAGTTGTTGATAGGATACACGCTGAAGCGACTGCTGTAGCTCAATTTCTCGCGAAGCCCGCTGAGATTGGGAAACTCGTCCACCATGTGGATAGAGGGACCATTGGTGCGCCGTTCTCCAATGGTTGCGCATGGTGTTCATGGTTGATCCAATATACTGACACTGGTCGGGAGCCCGTTGACAGAGTAAGCCGTTTGAGTGACATGGTAAAATAGGAATCGGCTTATCCAAAACATGAGGAACCTGGATTGCTGAGCCATCCTGTTCGATATCTGGCAACTGGCGGATAGCCTGAATAATTGGGGTCACTGTCCGATGGGATAGATAATGCTGCTTTTTAGATGGCGCTCTACTTCATCGGGTCGCACAGCATACCGACATCGACGGCAAACTATGACTTTCAGCTGGGGAATGGGCTCAAAGCCAATAAATCCATATTCTTGCTTGTTGATCCCACACTGTTATCAGAGTTAACCTCTGCCAGATGACGAGGGGTCGTGGTTTCCTGGACATGGTGAGTGGTCACCGGAGAAAGAATAAACCGGTGCCACTGGGCCGACGCGCGCTGGAATGCTTCTTGGCGACTGGGAAGGAGACCTAATGGATACGTGTCCTCAACCGCGTAGATCTGATTATTGATATGGGAATGATGACCGGCCTGGGCGGCAAGGATATTATGGAGGACTGTCTCGGCGGACTGCAGGTCAGATCCAGTCATCTGGGGGCGGAGATGTTTCTTGGCAATGGCGATAGACAGATGGCGATAACTTAGGGTGGTTAGATAGGCACTGTTAAAAAACGGAGTCGACTGGCGTAGAAGATGTGTCAACTTGCGGGGCGGCGGGGAAACCGGCGAGGAAGGAATAACAAAGAAGTAGCAATCATGCTTGGCCTCCCGACGGGCCCGGGACTCCGGGGTGCTGACTGTTAAACGCCACCAGCATGGGACGGACGTGGATTAGATACGTTACAAGCAGCCGGCCCACCGCGGAGGGAAGAAATCGAGCAACGGGGGGTGGGTACGGACGGTCCGGCGGCGGGTCTTGTGATATTCGGTTACGATCATAACCTGGCCGTTGCTGAGAAAGATATTCCGCTGGGATGTCGCGGTATTCTGCCATTTAATGGTGAGTAGCTCCTTCTCACGACTGGTCTGGCCCCAGGTAACCTGAATCAGTAAAGCCAGTTTATATAGAAAGTCTTGAACTTTCTTCTCATACAATCGCATGGCCTGGATATCCCAGTGTGTCGAAACCTGCCGAAGCGGCCGCACGCCAGACGGTGGATACTGGCAGAGCAGGAGGAGAGGGATGCACGTGGGCCGCGCATGGTGGGGGCCACGTCAAGAAAGGAGAAGCCACTCCGTCTCTCACTGGGCACGTCGACCAAGTCCGCTAGCGTAAAGTCCTCAACGTAGCCCAGCAGGAGCTCCCGGTTAAAGAAGTCTGTGGTCGTGTGGATCAGGTGCTGGATCCAGTGACGGAAGTTGGTCATGGTATAGCCAGTGGGGTTTTGCCGGTAGTACACTGTCTCTTGGTCCGGAGACCAGGTGATCGAGGCTGGACGCACCTCGTGATACATCTGGTATATCCCATGGGCGGTCAGCCGTAAAATCTCCTCCAGTGGGTAAAAAGTATGCCGGACTCCAAAGGTGTAGTGCACCGCTGCGGCTCGTCGGACTCGGTTCCGATACTGGTCACGGACCGGCACGTCATTAATAAAGTGGTATGGCTTGGCGGGCAGTGCATACTCCAGCAGAAGCAGCCGTGAAATCCAGAGGATGGCAGCCAGGTCGCTGGTGTAGCTATATGGACCGGCCACAGTGAGATGGACAGGGTGAATCGCAAGCACGGCTGTTAGTGCAACTAGACTGCTGTCAAATTTGTTGCCAGTCTGCTGGATAGCACGAGTGCTAATGCTGCTTATACAGAGCGAAAAGACCATCTCATCCAGCCACCGCTGACATTCCGGTGGAAGCTGAGGCACGCCCCTCCGGCTCGTTCGATCTAGGTCGGCGCCGTCACCCATAGACGGGATCGGCGATTCTGTACTGGTCAGGAAGTCTTCTTCCTCCTCATCAGACCAATCACTCGATGTCAAATCGGTGTCGCTTATCTCGCCGGGGATGTGCCCCGGGCTCCCTAACCACGCTGCCCAGTCAGTAAGTCCGCAAATGGAAATAGGTGGTAGGGGATAGAAATCTTATCTTACCAGGTTCTGAGGCGGTATCTATATCCACGTTATTGTCCACATAGCCACTCTTGGTCGAATGCGATTCACTCTCTTCACTAGATATAGAGGGAGACCGAGATAAGTGGTTGCGTGGTTGTTTATTGTCTGGGGATAATTCGACTCTACGTCGTAGGGTCCGTCTGTATAGCACATAAGTATTCACGTAGGAGCCTGGCAGGACCAAGTGGCAGTGGGTTCTCGCCCAGCAGTGAAAAAGACCCGGGATAGTTATTACCTACCTGGTTTGAGAGGATTGAGCGTCTGGAGATGACAAGGGTGGAGTTATAGGGATACACACTGCAACCATTCTTTCAACACGTCGCGGTGAGGGGACCGGTGAGTTCTCACCGGTAGACACACTGCCGCCTACACGAGGATCGCGGAGTCGAGTGCCGGAGGCCTTCGTCGGAGTTAACAATCGAGCTTGGGAGGCTGTACGGCGATGGCCACGGCGCATTGGTGGTGGCAATGGTGTCGGGGTCACGCTCTCGCCGCGGCCGTTTGCGCACGGCAGCGGTACCCGCCCGGGAGTTGGCAGTGGTGGTAGATGATGTAGTCTGAGGTGTGGGAACAGGACTCGATATTGCAGCGAGTTCACCCAGGTTACCCGATCATAGGCGCGCTTAACTGCCTGCCGCCGAGCATCAGTTTGCTCCATTCGTTGAAGGAAGTGGCCCGCTGCGAGGGTTTCTTCCGGATGAGCCAGGTATGCCTGGAGGGTGTCCCAGATCCGGGTGAGATGCTCCCGCTCATACTTGTCCAACCGGAGGCCGAGGATCTCCGTGCGCTCTTGGTCAGTCAGAGGGGCTCCGCGTACCATCCAGGCCAGATACCGCCGCCATACGCGGCGATAGCGTTGGAGCGTCTTTGGCTGCTGCCGGTCGAGTTCCACCGCACTCAAACCGGTCTGCGATGAGCTGCGGAATAGACGACGGATTGGCGGATGGGTGGACGCTAAGCTGTCCAGGGCTCGGTTAAGGACCCGGTCAAACGATGCAATAACCAGGTCTAAAATGTTGACCGACATCTGCTGGATGCTCCCTGCGGGCTCATCTGGGACTAACTCCTTATCGTCCCATAGCGCTCCTGGCCAGAAAGATTGCAGACCTGGATGGCTCTGCAGCCGGCCAGGGTCTGGCGCGGACGCTTCGGCCAACACCCGAAGATAACGGCCATCCAGGAATCGAAGCCAGTCGGTCTGCAGCAGCCATGGTGTGACATCGTCCTCCATATGACGGGCCTGAAAAACAAAGAGCCGAGGATCCGGACGGGCCTCTTGCGCAGGGTGCTGTCGGTGGATCCCACGAGCCTCTAGGTGCTGAATTTCCCGGATCCATCGGGCCGTGTGGTTGCCAGTCAGGGTGGGGTTTGCAATGGTGTGGTCGGTCGTTCTATTGGCTCCGCGTCTACGGGCTTCGGGGCCAGGGGTCGCAGCGGTCGGACCGGTAGTTCGTTGGGTTTGATTCTCCGGTTGTCCTCTTCGCAGACGAACGTGAGCGTGGTTAGCGGTGGGCCGGACCAGGAGAAACGAGAGACGTACCTGTGACCGGATCAAGTTGGGATGGAGCGATCTCCGGCTCGCCTATTAGTATTGTGTCAGCAGCCGAGGAGGAGGGCGGATCTTCCGTGGTTTCCACTGGCATGCTGGCTGGTCGACCATGGTCCACGGGCGCGGTGGTCCAGAAGCGCAGGTATCGGCTGGATTGGAACCAGGATTGGCCTTGCACGCGGCGAGGCGCCCACGGAAGGCCGTCAGCACGATGTGCAGCAACCTGGTGTCTTTTACTTATCCGCTGAGACCGGGTAAGATGCCCGCAGTGACTGCATTCCCACAGATCGTGAAGCTCGAGCTCTGGAATCCGGGAGGAGCTGTTTGGAAGAGGCGAGAATTCATCATGGCTGGATCGGGGGTAACGTCGCGAGGGATCTGACGCAGGTGTCGCGCTCGATCCGCAATAGTCCGTAGCTGATGGACATCGGAAAGATGACGCTCTTTTAGCTGTCCGGTTATAGCAATTTTGCACCCAATACACACTATACAATTATATTCCTTCAGGTAGGTCAACAAACGGCGGTGGTTGAGACCCGTCGGGAAAGGCCACGGAAGTCCTGCGAGTTGCCATAATATCCGAACAGCAGTGAGTAAAAGAAATAAAGACGGTGTTATATTCTCCTTACATTAAATGTAGACTGTAAGGAACAGGCAGGTGGGAGTTTTTTTTTTTTTTTTTGGGGATCGAATCTCAGGGCAGAATTTCAGGGGGTGGTCTCAAGATTTCGTCTGTGGGGAAAATAATGGACAGATCACATTTTCCGAGTTGCTGCTGGAAAGGGGTTTGAGAAGAAGATGCGGTTCGAACTGTACAGGAGTAGGGAATGTCTTACTCGGCGCAGTGGATTTTCGCCAGTCTTGAGATTGTGGATTGAGGCAAAGTTGAACCTCTGTGTACCATACGGTCGCATTGGTCGGCTGGTTTGTTATATATATATATGTAGGGGTTCGATGACTGGATGCCCGACGCCAAGCCGGCTGAAGGCTCTCATGTTGGTTCGTTATATATATATATATTGGATTGAAGAACCGAAAGTATACTAACAAGCCAGTCAAGGGTCTTTCGCTACGACATCAGCTAGCCTAAGGATCGTGTGTAACAGATCCTTTAGATTCTGCAGTATATCTCGACATTGACTTACAACGGAGAGCTACCGAGGATCTGATTGATGATTCCAGAGCATCGTCTCCACAGGACTCAGGCGGACTACAAGCAGGCAATGACCACACGGGTCCAAAACGCAAAGATAGACAAATCGACACAAACGATAACTTGAAGTAAAAAAGCAAGGCCTATCGAGTATATATACTTAAGAGGAGATAAAGCACTGACGAGTTAATATGGTAACCAAGTTTCTCCGTAGTGAATGGCTTGCATTGAACGCGAGGGACTAAATGGAGCCGTCTAACTGCATGGTAATAGGTGTTATATATCTTCGTCCCCATCCAATCCTTCACTGTGTTGTGTTGTGTTCTGGATAGGAGATGTCGTAGCACTGAATAAAAGACAATGCAGTAAGTGCAGAACATCTGTCCAGCAAATCAGCGCAATACTCCAGCGCTAGATTGCTGAAAAAGTAACTTATCCGTGCAGGGCTGAGACGGGCCACCCAAGAGCGCTCTTTTGACTTACTCTCCATGGCATGGGCCTGTTCTGCGCCGGCACCTTAGTCGGGGAGCATCCCGATCGGGCGTCATATGTTGCCCAAACAATCCCTGTTTGTATTATAGTGGAGGACAGGGTGGTTTTCAACAAAAATTACGAAAATTACACCACGTAATTAGAGTCTCTAACGACCATAAAAATCCCAATACGGTATCAACATTAATTAGCAGAAGAATTCAATACAATAATAACTAATCGATATAAATCAACATGGTGTTGTTGCAATTTGTTGAATTGTGTCGATTTGTATCGACTTGTTAAAACCACCCTGGTGGAGGAACTAGAGGGACTGGCATGTGGCATTTGTATGGATAACGGTTATCTTAAGTCCTCGTTCGAAGAGGGAATAAACAATCAACAACCTTCTTACAAACCACGGAGCGCACCTGCGTAAGGGGAATGTTGTCTTCTCCCTGCCAGGCTGAGCTGTCTCAGAGTGTCTCCTTGACCTACTCCTTCGGAGTTCTACCATTGCCCTCTTATTCAGTATCGCTGCGTACATACCGGAATGGTTGGGCGCAGTCGCGATCGGGTTGCAGTGCTGAGTGGTCGGTAACCGGAGTTATAAGAGATAATCGGAAACCGGGGCGAAAATGTTACCGAATCAACGATCCGGATCGAAAACATTATCGACCGACGATGGGACCCGGGGTGGGTGGTATCGGGACGGCTCGGGAACTCCTGTTGGCGGACGATGGGACGGGAGCCGGTGTTGGTGGTGTCGGGACGGGCTCCGTTCGGCATTGGACGGTCGACGGGGATTGTACGGGTGGGGGGCGGGTCGACAGTCTACGGGGACTGTATGGGGGGACGGGTCTTACGTCAGCGACACACAGCGTACGTGGAGTGTCCGGGGAAGTGCGCAACCGGACCTCTGCGGGCCGCCGTATTCCGCGGGCAAAGGCCCGTAGAGTGTAGGGACTATCTATATACAGGGGCACTTGGTTCGCCAACCATCCTCACCGACCCTTTTGAATCTTGAATCATGAAGAACCTAAGCATAAATAGCTTGGAGGAACTCTCCTAGCTTGCTAAGTTTATTAATTTCTTTTAATCCAAGCGTCAGCAAATAACCTTTATGCTTTTATTCCAAGATGTCCACTATTCCCTCCTCCAGCGAGAAGCATCCTGTCCTTGACTACACCAATTGGCCTGAATGGAGCGAATATTGGAGAGATTATTTTTTTTTTCTTAACCTTTGGCAGTATATTAATCCTTTAACCGCTACTATCCTGCCTCCTCCTACGTCCTCTGCTAATTGGGATACTATCAGAATAATAACTAAGTATATACTTAAGCTTCGCCAACATGTCGCTCCAGAATGCCGGAAGCTCTTAGCTGGCAAGATATCCCCTAGGGATATCTGGTCTTCTCTGAAAGCTGGCTGTGATCGAGGCACTACTCTGCCGCTTATTGCTCAGGTGGAATCCTTTCACAATAGCAAGTGGGAACCAAAGGACTCTATCAGCATCTATACAAGTCGCCTACGGAATATCTACCTATCCCTAGAGAATACTCCTTATTAAATTTATCGTGACATAGTAGTTCACCTGCTTGTTGATTAACTCCCTAATTGCTACAAGTTAGAAGGGCAAGCAGCAAAGCAACTAAATTTATCCTTTATTAAAACTATTACCTATCTACTTACCAACATTAAGGATTCTACATCTACTGGTGACAACTTCTCTGGACAGGCTCTAGCAGTCCGGGGACGTCGTCCTAGTCACCGAACAAGTACTCAACACCTCCGTGAATGCTATAGCCGAGGCTCTCGACATGCAAACCAATCAAGTAATCAAAATCCAAATCAATTATCAAGTCGGAATCCACGAAGAAACATTAGATGCAACTGGTGCAAACAGAATAGTTACTATGAGCGTGACTGTCACATAAGACACCAACAAATAGACTCTGGTGCAGCAAGATATGATAGACAAGGTCAAGTTTACCTAGTTAACACTTCTCCGCCAGGCAATCTCTTGCAAGCTAATCCTCCTCAACAACCTACTTATCCAAATCCTTCACAGGCAAACGTCGCTTAAACACAGCCTGATCCTCAGCTAAATCCTCCATCGTGTCACGGCGTGAGCATGGCGGAACAACTGGATTCTATTTTGACGAAGACATCGCTTGAAGAACTTGTAAACAGAGCGACGCGAGGTCAGAACTAAGCTATCTACAGGCGGTGGAGGGAGGCAGAACCCGAATCCTGACACATCGAATCCTCGGCCAAATCCCTATAACTATCCAGCTTATCTCTTGCTTGCCCGAGCGTCCTACATCAACAATAAGGACCAGAGTAAGGATCCCCTTAGTTGGATTCTTGACTCCGGAGCTACACAGCACTTCTCCAACAACATGTCGGACCTTAAAGACTTTAAACACTTCCGAACACCTAAAGAAGTTTATCTGGGAGACAACACTATTATTTATGCAGAAGGATCTGGCACACAACTGCTCCAGATAGGACCCAATCTTCTACATTTAAATGTCTGGTTTGTACCACAGCTAGCAGAGAACCTTCTCTCTCTTTGACTCCTGGATCAAGCTGGCTATTCCACTCTTATTAAAGAGGACATTGTCTATATTCGCCAACGAAGCACCTCCGGTATTGAAGCTAAATGGTGCCGACTAGCGGATTCTTTACAAGGAGACCTCTACCGAATGCATCTGCATCCAAAGTTATTACTAGAGTCCCCCCGTGCACTCCGCACAAGAGAGTATAGTACTCTTCGATCCTGGCACTGCCGACTAGGTTATCGAGACTTCCGAGCAGTGGGAGCTATAATAAATCTATCTGTTCCACACAAGCTACCCACCTGCGCTGCTTGTCTTCAAGGTAAAATAAAAGCAGATCCTTATCCACCTGTTTAAGAGAGATGCCAGAGACCTTTTGAACGTGTCCATGTGGACCTAGTCCCCTTAGATGGCATTTCCTTTGGCGGATCCAAATATGCATTGCTACTAGTTAATAACTATATATGCTATGCCTGGATTTACTTTGCCTCTTCCAAGAATGTTGAGGCTATCTCCCCTCTTATTAAAAGGTTTATTAACATAATCCTAACCCAATTTAATGCTGTTATCAAGTCATGGCGGACAGATGGTGGCAAAGGTGAATTTATAAACAGTATAATTAATACTATTAATAGCCGCTTCGGAATACTGCACCAATCCTCTACCCCGGGTGTTAAACAACAAAATGGTCTTGTTAAACGCCGTGTTTAAACCATTAAGAACATGGAACGCTCTATAAGAGCTGGTGCTGGTATTCTAGACAATTACCGCCTGCAAGCTGAATCCCTTGCCACCGCAGTTCTTTTGTTAAATATCCAGCCTTCTGCCGCCCTGGACAACTAACCCCCCCATCAGCTACTCTATGGCAAATCACTACCGTTGGATTTCCTAAAGCCATGGGGATGTCTTGTTTACATCTATCTTCGGAAGGACTTTCGCAGCTTATCAGATCCCCATTGCAAGCCTGCTATGCTAGTTGGCTATATGCAAGGCACCTCTTCTATTTATAAATGCCTTGATCTTTTCACTTTGCATACATTAAACCATTCCGAAGTTAAGGTTGATAAAGACCTTTTTCCAGGTCCTTGGTTAAAAAGGCCATCCGGCTTTAAGCCATCCATTGCTCATAAAAGAAATCCGCCTGGTTCTGCGGTTAATACTGCACTTGGTCAGTCAGTACCAGGAGCGCAACCCTTTTTAGTATTATTAAGCGTACCACTTTCCTCAATAAACCCCTTCTGGCTGCAGCCCTCCCATCCGGTAGCAGACCCTGTCAAACTAGCAGAAATAGCTAGAGAGGCATTGGACCCTTTCCCCCGGTCCCTGGCAGCCCAAACTGGTAGCCAGTCTATTTACAACACCAGAGGAACTATTGTATTTGGAACCTGTGATAGAATCTACAAGCTTGATACTGTAAGGGAGCTTGTAGAAGCCGCAGTGATCGTGCAAGGCATGGAGTCGCTCTCCTTCCCACCCAGGTAACAAATAGCAGAGGTTATCATACGTACAGACCACAACGGAGATCCTCTTACCTATTCGGATGCCTTGCTGCAGGATCCGGATAGATAGCCACCAGCAATACAAGACAAACTCAATGCTCATAAAGTAAATGGGACTTGGATAGTCCAAGAGAGTAGTTATCTGCCAAAAGGGTGCAAGCCGATCCCCGGCAAGTGGGTATTTAAACGCAAGTTAAGTCCTGATGGAAATATTCGCTACAAGGCACGGCTAGTTATAAAAAGTTTTCTCCAGCGCTACGGTGTAGACTTTATGGATACCTATGCTCCGATAGCCTCCTTAGCGGCCTTTAGACTCCTGGTGGCAATAGCTATATTTAATAGCTGGTCCTTGCGGAACTTAGATATTATCACTGCATTTCTGAATGGTGATATAAACACAGAAGTCTACATGGGGATACCAGAGGGAATAGATTTAGATCCAGAGCACCATATTTTAAAGCTTCGCCGGTCTCTCTATGGCTTAAAGCAAGCTCCCTGTATTTGGTGGGATAGGATGACTTCATTCCTATTAAAAGCAGGCTTTTACCAATATGATGCCGAGCCAGCAATCTTTACCCGCAGCCAAAGTGGCAACGGAGGCTTTCTTATACTTCTTTTATTTGTTGATGACATCTTGCTAACCGGTAATCAGGAAGCAATTGATCGCTTTGCCCAGGAATGTTGCAATTTAATACCAGAGATCTTGGGTCTCCGACACTATTCCTAGGCATCCACATTGAACACCAAGATGGCAAGATTCTACTACATCAGAAAGCATATATTAAGCGAATCCTTGAGCGATTTGACGCACCTGCAAATCCAGTTGCCACTCCCATGGACCCCAAGCAATCCCTGGTTAAAGCACTAGACTCAGAACTTCTGGACAAAGTCGATGCAGCAGAGTACCGTGCTGCAGTGGGAGTATTAATATACCTAATAATCTGTACAAGACCTGACATAGCCTTTGCACTATCCCGACTGTCTAAATTTGTTCAGAAGCCAGGCATGAAGCATGCAGCAGCCCTTAAGCGATTGCTTCGGTATCTGGCTGGCACCCAGGACCTATGCATTGTTTTCAGGCCCTTATCTACTTCTTCCAACCCGACTCTGTATGGCTATTGTGACTCTGACTTTGCTGCGGACCTAAACAACAGACAGTCCACCTCCGGTTTTATATTTCTCCTGAATGGTGGCCTAATATTGTGGAAATCGAAGCAACAGTCCCTAGTCACAAGCTCCACCCATGATGCTAAATATATTGGCCTAGTGAATGCCTTATATAAAGTTAAATAGCTTCGAAGCATTATCCTTTCTATTCTCCCTGACTACACAGAGCATTCCTTCCCGGCAAACAGATTATACTCTGATAATCAAGGTGCTATTGCAACTGCAAGTCAACCTAGTCACTCCCCTTCCGCTCGATCGAAACATATTGATATCCGCTTTTATATTATTCGAGACTTAATTGCAAATAGCCTAATTCGACTGGAATACATTCGCACATCAGAAATAACGGCAGATATATTAACAAAGGCACTAACCAAAGAGTTGCATCAGCGTCATGTAAAGGGAATGGGAATAGAAGCAATATAGGTAGAGATCTCTTACTATTTATGTTCTTTCCTTGAAAACTGGCCCGGTTTCCTCCATAATTTTGTCCTAAAAAGGTTTTATATGGAGGTTTTCCCCCGGGACTGCATGTATATAGTCTTCCTACCTCTTTTAGGTGTCATCAGGGCTCTAGTGGGAGATCCTGGCCATGTTGTGTGGCCTTCGTGGAGATCCCGTATGAGTGGGAGTGTCAAGGTGCTACATCCAAGATCCCCACTCAGGCACGGAACATAGTTGTTCCAGAGCCGGGGGTCAACATGACTCCTGAAGGTAGACTAGCGTAAAAAACACAATCCATCACCATAACATATTCTGTATGGTCACGTGGCCTCACTTAGTCACCCACCTAGATAGTCAGCTCGCCCGAGCCCCTGAATTGAAGAGAATTGTGTGCCTCGCGAACAGGGGGATAATGTCACGGGCTACGCCCGTACGTTGCTCGGCTTCACCTTCGCTGCGATTGACACATATGATTGGTCCGCTTATCGCAGTCACATGACCCCTTGTAGTATGAGAACGCACACTTCTTTCCCTTTACTTTCTTCCTTTCAGCGATTCCTCTTTGTGTATATCTAGTTATTAGATAGCAAGGCATTTCGCCCCTTTACACACATCCCTACTTCCAACACATCACGCTAACCACGTGACCGCACCCTGTCTCAGCTCAAACACGCTCCTCTTCTTCCTGTTATCTTTATTATCATCAGCAACGATGTTACTCCCTCCGGATCCTCGACTGACAGACCCATCTACGTATAACCGTGAGCAGATCGTCGCAGTCGTGACTGACTTTTATCAATTCTTGACCACTCTTCCTTTCGTTGAGCCAGATGAGATTCTGTATCCCCCCCCCCTGAAGGATGGCCGCAAATTACTAAGGACAAGTTCGCCTTTTTGAACAAGACAGATGAGGTAATTGAGCTGCTACGCCATCTGCCTTACCTCGACTCCTCACGTGGAGAATGGAATATCTTCCCTTGGACAAAGTCTTGTGGTTACCTTAAGGGGAATGTTAAGGCATTAATTCCTTTCCCCCCAGAAGATGATTACGAGTTTCCCCCTTGGGTGATAAACCTCACCTACTCAGAAGAGAAATATGGAAAATATGTCATGCTAGACACTACTGATGGTTAGTTGTACTATTCTTAATCATTGATATAACAACAGCCCTCTCACTGATCTATAGGCACGGCAACAGTCTATCAGATCTGTGGGAGCTACTTTGATCCCGTCTATGCGGTAGATGATCCGCGCAGCTGGCGAGATTTATGTGAGGATCAGGTTATGCCGCTGGAAGAATTTCTTGATGAGCAGAAGAGGTATTATATCAATCTTGACTGGATCTGTTATGCGTGGGGGGTCGGTAACGAGCTGAATGGGGCGCTACGGTGCGAAAGGGAGTGTCTATATAGGAGAGAAGATAGAGCCACGTATATTGCAGAACTAATCGCTGGCCTTCAAGAGTTCAGGCCCGCGGGTGCGAATATAAACACTTCGCACCTGACTAAGCATCTTAGCTAAGGATCTAGCTATCGCGCTTCCGAGCGCTCCTAACACTATCTTCCCCTCCAAGAGGCTTCGCCCTCGAAGCCTTAAAGACTGTAGTATGAATATATGCGTTATGATGGGTAATGTGTCATAGATTCCAATCCCTTGAGTCCTTCCCATAATGGTTTGTGCGGTTGATCGATGTTTGGTACGATGTCTTGGAGCTTGGGTGAGTGTAGGTGTGTTTTCGCAGGTAGTCGCTCCATGGCAACAGTTCTGCTTCATTCACTGCAGTTTTTCGCCCGTTTGAGCTTAGTTCTGTTGTTGACGCTGAGCTTTTTGCTTCCTCTCTCTCTCTTCTCTTTTTTTCTTCTCCTCTTCTCTTCTTAAACCACCAAACTTCTTGCGGTACGTGCGCACTCTTCTGCCTCAGCTAATAAGGGTAACGGCTCCTCCAGCGCTTTCTCGCATGTTTTGAGCTTACTAATATGGGTGTTTTCGCAGATGGCTCGCCGCAAAGCTTCGTCGCCTCCATCGGGAGAATCCGCCCCACGACGCCGTCGCCTTCTCCGTGGAGTTCGTCCTCGTTCATCCTCTGAAGACGATGTCGTTTTCACACCTGCGCCCCGCTCGGTTTCGCCGGAATGGGAGGGATTTCCATCCTCTCCTGCTTCGGCGGAGCCGGACGGAGTCGAATCGCCCTCTCCGGACGTGTCTGGTAAGTCCGGTGCGTTTATGTAAGGTAATATTGCTAATTTGTGCGAAAGTTTCATCGCCCCTTTGTCTCCATCGGCGGCTTCGGTCGTCCAGGTGCAGACTACCCCTGCGCCGGTCCATGTTGATACGAATGGTTTGCCTTTGGCCCAGGGGGTAGTCCCTGGTGCCACCGTTGCCTTGTTCGTTTGGAGCGAGATGCTGCGTCAGCGTGTGTTTTCTTGCCAGGTCGTTTAAACTGTGTTTATTGTACTGGCCAGCGACACCCTTTGTGTCGCTCCGGAGGTTGCCGCTGGTCCTTTGGCTGTTTCTATGGTTACTGAACATCGCACGTTTGTTGGACTTCCCCAGTCTCGTCGCCCTGCTGCGCAGGAGAGGGCGGCTGGGCTGGTAAGGGAGTATAGACGTGCGGTTCGAAAACCTCGAATACCACGCGTGGATAGCAGTACATCTGTGCCTGTCCCTGAACGCACTCCATCGCATTCGCCCATGGCTCCCGTTCCTGCGACTCCCAGTCGCCTGGGTCGTTTTGTTGATGCGGTCCTTTCCCCCTTCAAGGGTTGAGTTGTCTCTTTGGGTGGGAGGTCGGTGTTATTGGGCCGTTGCGCCATCTTGTCTTAGTTAAATAGAATGCTATTTTCCTTTAGCCATGTAGCGCGTACGTCGTCGGGTAACAGGTGCTGTATTAGTAAGCCAGATGTCCAGGGCTTCAGTGTCTTCGACGTGCGATCTTGGTTCCCAGGTATGTATCAGGTGGATAGCCCTTCATCGCACCAAATAGCTTATGTTACCACTTTGTCGCGTTTTTCCTCCAGAATTTGATCATTCCCACTCCTCTTCGCCTTATTGGTATTGGCGGGGGCGGCTCCATTGACCCGTCGTTCATGGTATGGCTCCAACAAAGACACGTGGAAAACGGGTCAGACGGCGATATTTTGGTGGTAGTGAAGCTTGTACGATTGGTTTCCCCATGCATCAATAATGGAAAATGGGCCTAGCTGGCGGTGGTCTAATTTCGCATTAGGTCGCACTGTAGAGACATTCTTCGCCCGTAGCATGACTTGATCACCAATCTTGAATTGTCTGTCGATCCGACGCTTATTATATTGCCTTGCCATGGCTTTTTGCGCCTTTTCAAGCGCATCCTTGACCAAGGATCGCTTTTCCTTGAGCTGTGTTGCGCGCTCCAACGCTGCTGGCGCATGGCCAGTGGGATCAGGATCGACATTGATTCTCAGGCTAGGGACGAAGCCCATCAATGCTTCATGTGGGCTTGTCTTTGTGGATGAATGAATCGCAGCATTATATGTAACTTGTGCCATTGGCAGCCAGTCAACCCAATCATCTTGCAAGAAACTCGCATAGGCTCGCAGGTAATACTCTAATGTTTGGTTTTGGCGTTCTGTCTGACCATCTGTCTGCGGATGAAACGCAGTAGACAGTTTCCGCTTCGATCCTAGGCAATAGCACAGTGTCGACCAGTAGCTACTGGTAAACAGCGAGCCCCTGTCCGACACCCATCGCTTTGGATTACCAAACATGGGTACCACCTTTTGATAAACCAAATGTGCGAGTTCTGGCGCCGAGATATCCTTATTGCAAGGAATATAAAGTGCGAACTTTGTTAGGGCATCCACAACCACTAATATCGCATCATAACTCTCTGTGCCCCTGGGCTGGCAGATATACTCGGTGAACTGGGCGGTAGTCCAGTAATAAAATCAAGAGTCAGCACTTCCCCAGGCTGCTCTGGCACCGGCAAAGGCTCCAGCTTGCCATAAGGTGCGTGTCTATGCACTTGAATTCTTTGACAAATATCGCAGGTTTTCACATAATCCAGCACATCGCCACGCATACCATGCCAATAGTATTTGCGTTCGACGGCTTCCAAGGTGCGTTTTCCTCTAAAATGTCCTCCCTGAGGATCATCATGATTTGCTTTCATAATTTCATGTGTTACCGCAGGAATTCTGGGTACATAAACGCGACCTTGGTACCTGAGTAGGCCATTTTCGCCAATTCCCCAGGCCGGACTGCCATAGTCCCCAGCTTGCGATCAACTTTTCGCTTAATATCGCGTACCTCGCGATTCTCTTGGTGCAATTTGCACAAATAGTCCACCATGGACTCCTCAATGCTGGAGTAAGCTGATTCGGATCCAATAACCTTGCGGACATAGATCCGTGGCACCCAGGTGTCTAGAATTCTGGTAACGCCGGCAGCACAGTCCTCATCCACGGGTGCGTTCTTATCCACGTGGGCATGCATACTCCCCATGGAGATATGCGCATCAGAGCTCATTTTATTTAATTGTTTGGACCCGCCTTCGGTGTCCAGCGCCATTATTCCCGCCCATGCGGTTTTAACTCATTGGGTGCGTCATCCCAATGACTCTTGCCCATGGCCAATTTCAACTTTGATCGCAATGTGGGAAGCAGTGACGCATCACTTACTTCATCTGCGCTCGGCAGATAATCTGGCCTTCTACTTGGCGCATCTGCAGGGTTCTTTACCCCAGGTCGGTGCTCAATATGAAATCGAACGCGCTCAGCAACTCGACCCATCTCGCCTGACGTCCATTAAGCCGCTTCAATGTGGGCCGCATGAAACCGCTTAGGTTGGCATGGTCAGACTTCACCACTATTGGCTCCCCGCCCCTTCGAGGTAATGTCGCCAAACTTTGAATGCTTCAATGATCGCTAACAACTCTTGGTCATGCGTATCATACCTGCGTTCAGAATCGGTCATCTTTCGTGAGAAAAATGCCACAGGATGCCACTCGTTATCATCCTGTAATTGGGAGATTATCGCACTTATAGCGAAACCAGACGCATCTGTCTCTACCTTGGTCCTATTCCTAGGGTCATAATGAGATAGCAATGGTGCGCTCGAAAACGCACTTTTAGTTTATTAAACGCAACTCTTGCGTCCTCAGGCAGCTCAAGGCGCTGGTTCAAGAACCATTGCCTTTTGCTCCTCCCCCTTGCTCCCCTCGGGTGAGCTGGGTCAGCGGCAATGCAATGCGGGAATAACCCTCAATAAAACGCCTGTAAAATTTGCAAATCCCAGGAATATCATGATCTCTCGCACGGTTGTTGGCTCCGGCCAAGCCTGGATGGTAGCCACACGGCTTTCCTCCATCTGAATGCCCGAAGGCGTGATGATAAATCCCAGGTATTCCACACTTTTCACATGAAATGAGCATTTGCTCAGCTTGGCGTATAGCCCGAATTGTCGCAGTCTCTCCAAAACTGCGGTAACATGCTCAACATGTTCCTCCTCACTCTGCGAGTATATAAGAATGTCATCCAGATAAACAACACAGCAATGGTCTAGTAGGTTGCTTAATGCGCGATTAATATAGGACTGGAACGTAGCTGGGGCGTTGGCTAGCCCGAATGGCATGACAGTGTATTCGAAGTGACCATATCTTGTGCGAAATGCAGTTTTCCATTCATCCCCTTTTTTAATTCGGATGCGGTGATACGCGTCTCTCAGGTCAAGTTTGGTATATATCTTAGCGCCAGCCAAGCGATCCATAGTCTCGCTAACAAGTGGTAAGGGGTAACGATTTTTGACAGTAATCTCGTTCAAACCGCGGTAATCCACACAGAGTCGCAGTGTTCCGTCGGACTTCGGTACAAAGATAATAGGTGCGCCAGCTGGGCTTTTCGAGGGACGAATCCATCCCTTTTCTAGCGCTGCTTCAATATATCTGCGCAGAACTGCGAGCTCACTTTCGGACAAGGGGTAAATTGGTCGGTATGGGGGTTCCTTTCCCGGTTGTATATCAATTGCATGGTCGTGGTCTGCATGCGCAGGTAGAATCCCTGCATTTTCCTCCGAAAAGACATCTTCGAACTCCTTGTAGATTGCGGGTATTCGCACTCCTTCGCCGATTGTCGCAGAACCCACACGGATTTCGACCTGGTTATTTTCGGTTGTGGATACGTACGCTGCGTAGACTTGTTTTCCCTCTCTTAAAGTGCGATTCACCTCTGCTTCGTTGATTATCTCGACTTCTTTCTCCGGAGGTATTTTCCGGTATTCCCATGTTCCTAGTTCCCAGTCGACGTTTGGGTTCGCCTCTCTCAACCAAGGGTATCCTAGAATCGCATCATAATGGTCCATATCAACCACATCGAATGTTCTTTACAATCGTTCTACGAACACCGTGGCAATCTTGGGTGGTTGCCCTCAGCCTGTAGCGTCCGTAGCAACGGATGCGGTGACCATCTAGGGCCATATCCTCCGCGGGCCTATTGCAGGCTCCGGGAGGTGCGCATCTGCGAACCTTCGGCTGATAAGAAGGGCTTGACACCCCGAGTCGATTAACGCACAAGTTGGAATAGTGCGCTCTTGTGCTTGCAGCTCAACCATAGTCTCAATGGCATTATCTTTTGGATTTTCTTCCTCTAGGCCCAGAGCCGCAGCTGCTCGCATCACTGGGCCACCTAGTTTTTTGCCTGGTTGTCGTCCCTTCTCGCACGTTTGGGACATTGAGGCGCAATATGTCCCCTTTTCTCCGCAGACATAGCATTCAATATCAGGGTTATGCGACTGCTGTCGCTTATGACCTTGGGACCTATTAGAGTTTCCTCTAAAGGCGCGATTGTTGCCTCTCCATGGCTTGTCTGGGCCCCGTTGACTGGAAGGTTGTTGTCTTTCCGTGTTGCCTGGGGTCGTCGTCCGGTGTCGCATAGCTAAGCTGTGTTGGCTTCTCCTATTCTTCGCTTGCGATATTTCCTTGCGTCGACCCGGTATGGAATCTTCAATTGTTTGGAGGTGGGCGATATAGCCTTCATATGTCTCTGGTTCGTTGGGGTATTTAAGCGCTTCATGTCGCAGGTCTTGCTTGACTCTTGTCCGGAGGTGATCCTTTCGTTGTATTTTCTATGTATGCTTCTGGGAGCTGAACTTCCCATTGGTTAAGGTAAGCTGCGAATTCCCGCACGTTTTGGTGATCCTGTTGTCTGGCGTCATGGTAGCGTTGGCTCGCATCTCTTCGCAGGTTAACAGGGTCGTTTAATTGGCGTAGTAGAAATTTGCGAAAGTCCTCCCAGGTAGGTTTATCGGCGACTTCCTCCTCGTGTTGCCTCCATAGGCGGATAAATGTTGCGCATAGATGTGCCGTACCTTCCACCACTTTCGTCGTATCATTAGTAAAGTAGTAGCGATTTCGTTCGAAATGGGTTTCCATGCGTGCGATAAATGTCTGATATTCCTGCATGTTCTTTCCCATGTATTCCGAGACATGTGCTGGGGTGCTGGCGGTTTCAATGCGTGCGTGGGCTCTGGCATAGGCTGGGGTGCGGTTTCTTGTGGTATTCCATGGTCGGGTGTGCTTATATTGGATTCTGGCCGCGAAATTGTTGCACTTCGGTTTTCTTGGATGCGTTTCTCATAATCGATAAGCTCTTGCAATGCCCTCCTTTTATTTTCCATGCGTAATCTCTTGAGTTCCTGCTTTTGTTGGCGTATCTGGTCCCGGAGTTCGGCAAATTCATTATCCGATGAAGAATCGTTTGTTGTTGTGGACCCAGTAGCCCCTTTTCGAGGGCTAT